ATCACTCAAATGTTCACCAACTTTGTTTTTACAAACATCATGCGAATATCAAAATTGCCAGTAGTTTTTTTGTACGTTAACTCATTTTATGGACGGTTCAGACAAACTCTGCTTTTCTATCGACCCCGAAAAATTGAAACGATGCAAGTAAGCGTCAGGATCCAGATGGCCATTTAATGTTAAAATTTCCTGAAATTAATTGATTTGAAAACTTCAATTTCAATAACTTAATACTAATCGCAGTTTACCATATACTGTAACTTCATTCCAATGAAAATAAACATTTTTGGTATCATGTTTTTAGTTCAAGTTTAGACCGTAGAAATTTCCCCAACTACTTCTATATGAAACATATCATTTACAGCAACTTCATTAAAATTAATTTTTGTGCAATGTTTTTAAAATAGACTTTACACCTTGAATCCATATTAGATGAAGACTGGCACAGCCACGTAGGAATGAAAAGAAGAATATCAATGACTAGAACATGATACACGAAATATTAGAAAGTTCCCGCAAGCCGGGAAATTAGCCTCATCGGTGCTCTTTTATGGTCTAAATCAAAAAAAATTAGGCTGAAACATTTAAAATGTCGAGTTTTCGTAGAACTGAAAAAATATTCTATGTAGGTCGGTTATTCAATGCTAAGGCCCTGAGAAGAATGAGCTGTGCGCGTGAACTATTAAAGTGTATTAAAAAAAAGAAAGGCTACGCATTTTGAATACATGATACGTTGAGGAAAATATGAACTCCTACACTCAATAGCGGAAGGACGGTATAGAGAAAATTTTAAATTGAATCCAGATACATATTAGGCGAACAGCCACGCATAAATCATTTCAAATAATGATTTATAAAACGAATGGTAAGATAGAAGTTGAGTCTATCTGAAGCCTTTGTTAGTGTTACATACATTCGCGCTCAAACGTAATTTACACTTATCGCAAGTGATGTGCGATAGTGTGTGTGAAATGAAATAGAAGAAAGTACATACTTCGAAAGGTACATGAACGGAAAAAAATCTTTTTTTATGCCTTCTAAACCTAATATGTATAACAAATTTCAGCACGCTATTGCCATTTCCCTAATGCTGACAATGTATAGTACCCAATGGATGGATGAACATTCTCGGAACTTGCCTTCATTACAAATACGGTTCACTTAACCCGAATGTTAACAAGTTTTTTTTTTTTTTTTTTTTTTTTGTTGCGAATCATACAACCATGTGTCTTTCAATCACTTATAAAGACTAAGGGAATAATTTTAAAATGTTATACTTTTTGTTTGTCGCTTAGTGTATTATATATAAGCTTTATTTCGATTTATATAAAAAAAACAAACCCTTCAAATATAAGAAAATATGCATTTTAATTTATAATTTAACCATTGTGTACACATTAATATCTTGCATTACTTTATCTTTGAAGCATTACTTTATCTGCAAGCATCTTAGTTAGTTAGTATAATCAATCATAAATAAATGAATGAAGGGATTCTAAAACCCGGAATTTCACAACAAGCGAGCACATTTCGATCTGTCAGTCCTTACACCATCGACACAAATAGTTTCTTCAAATTCTTTTTTGAATTTTTCATTCATCATTCATTTAAATGATTTGCAACACCAAACAAACCATGAAATTTACGAAATGTTCATGTTAAAGAACGTTAATTTTCATAATAAGCTTGAATTATTTTTAATATGTTGTTCGTACGCTTTAAAATTATTTTTCGTGCTTAAAATCGTACATTATTCTAGTTGTCAATTGCCAATGCGAGATACTTAAAATAAAGGTCTGATAAGAATAAAACATTAAAATAATGAAGTGCTGCTCAATAAAGTCAGGCAGTTGAAATAACTGCCTCACATAGGCTTAGTAATTTGATAGCAGTGTGGTAACCACATAACTTTCTCATCACATGATACTTCCGCTGGGCAACTGATTAACCAATTAGCGGCGGCTATACGGCTACGTAAGTAAGTGAAAGACTTACTAAATTAATTAATTAACAAGTTAAGCGTCTAAGCTTAGAAATTTATACCAAAGTCTTATTCTCCATTAAA